CTGTCCCAACCTATCGTGTAAGTTGTGGGTATTACTGTACGAAAAAAAGGCCTACAACATAATTTTCGATTTTTTTTGTAGTCACAGCATTTTAACGAGAGGAATGAAAGGGAATACAAAATCAGCCTTACTTTTTCTTTTCTAGCATGTTTTTAATACAAGCAATGTATGATATCTAAGCCCGATGGCTGAGTGGTAGGGCACGGCGCCTCCACACCATAGGTCTACGGTTCAAAACCTGGGCTGTGCAAGGTCAACTCAGCCTTTCATCCCTTCAGTGGGTCGATAAATGAGTGCTACGCTCGCTTGGGAACTGAACACCTGTCCTGAATATCTGCTCTTATCCCTCAGGACCCCAGGTCACGAATATTGAGATGGGACAGTAGCACTTGGCTCTCATGGGCTGTTGAACCAAAGAGTTAAGTTACATGACCTCTATAAATAAATTGCACAAATTTATTTACACGTCTTATTATGTCAAAATCACGAGAGCTGTCGTCCATAGTCCTAGTATTGTTTCAGGTACTGATAATAATAATCATATAAAGCAGAGATAATCAACCCACACACAAATGACCTTGCAGGCCACTTCGGAAAACCTTATAATCTCGCGGGACCCTCATAAAATATATATACCTTTATATCTGATTTGGAACCAAAAAACATTTATTGGAGTGAAAATTTAAAAAAGAATGAATTAGTATTATTGTTTTCATTATTTTTCATGTGTACAGGCATATATAATATAATAATGTTTATATAATATAATAATGCAATGATCAAATAATGTTTAACCCTCTAAGTGGATACCTTCCTCCTGAAAAGTTATTCCGAAAGCGGTAACTCTTATTTTGAAGTTTCCTTCAAAAATGCAACAGACTTCTTTCCTTTCCCCCTTTTAGAACTTGGGAGGTCGAACGGGGACAATTTTATGACCTAGTTCGGTTCCTTTGTCAAGTAAGAACCAAGAGATCAATCGTTTACAGCTAATCCGCTTTTGAAAACGTTACTTGAAGGTAGAAAAATCCGTGCAGTGCATTTTCGAAGCATCTTTACACTGACGGAATTCTCCGTGCTATCCGCTTAGAGGGTTAAAGTATTACAGTTTGTGTGTATTGCCATTTTCTTGAAAATTACGGTGTTTCTTTTCAATTGATCTTTCGTTACTCATTGTTGAAATTTGATTGTGCTGTCATTCACAAACGATTAAGTATACATTGTCCTTTATCGAAACCATCCTGAATATTTTCTTTTAAACTTGAAGAAACATCTCTGACTGCCTCTTGCTTTTTGGGCATTCCAAACAGAAAAGGAGGAGGAAAAATGAAAGTCCCACATACACAGAATCATATAGCATCCATAGTAAAGCATATGCATAATGCAATTCGAATTTTTTTAAAAAAAGTAATTTACTGTAATAAAATGAAATGTAACTGTTTGATAAAATATAAATGTATTTCAATCTAAAGGACATTTCTATTATCAAAAGGACTTATTTTAAAACAAGAATAGGTAACAGACAAATACATTGTAGATTTATATATGTATATAATGATTCCTTCTAGTATCTTTTTTATTAACTCTTTGCTTGCTTGATTGATTGAATATTAACGTCGCACTGTTCAGCTACACGAGGGCTTTTGGCGACGGACCACGTAATTTTGAACCATGGTCAAGTGACGTGGATGACACCTGAACTGGCACCCCCCTCTCCTAACTATCACACCACACCAACGGGAGGACGTTTCAGCTCTCGACTGATTTAACGTGCATCGCTGCCCTACACGGCGGGTCTATGGTGGTACTGGACTCGAACTATATATTAACTCTATGCACTGATATTTAAAATAATTTTAATTCTTTGGTTTAAAAATAACATTGTAATCTTAATCGTAATCGGCTAGTCCGAAAGCCCTGTGCGCCGCCCATTCTATCCTATTAGAACTACTATTACGTAATAATCACTTGCTTGCACTGTTGGTATAAAAGCAAAATTCTTGTGTAATCGCTCTCTTTGTGTGCTTGTCTTCATCACGTAAGAATATAAATAACTGCAGCTCTTGGTCTTTGTGTTGTGTCCTCCAACATGCCGCTGCTGCTTGTCGTTGTCTGCTTTGCTTGTAGATCGTCGAATGTTTCTCTATTCAATGTACCGCAATTGTGTTTTAAGAATGTTTGCTTCAAAATAAAAAGATGAAAATCAATTCTGAAGACGTTTTCACTAAACCAGATATGACAACAATCGAAACAAACCAACACCGATCAACGCTACTACAATATATAATATATATATATATATATATATATATATATATATAAATTTCCCCTTAAATAAATTTAATAATGAAAAACCTTTAAAAATCTGATATTTAAATTTTTTTAAAAAAGAGTCGTTGGGTCGCAAATTATGTACTGGTGAGCCACGTGTTGGACACACCTAATATAAAGAGATTAAATAATGCTAAAATTAAGTTCCATTTCATTGCGTGTTTATTTTTACATTTATACCTTTTTGTTACTTTTTTTCTTAATTTAATGTCAAGAATTCGTGTAACGTAATTAATTTCCTCTCGTAAAATTTAGAAGAGATTTTTTTTCCTGTCTCGATTAAAAGTATTAATTATTGTGTCTTTTTTAATTTTTAATCTTCCTTTACCTTTTCATTTAAATACATCATGGAACCTTTTCTTTTTATTATTATTATTTTTTTAAATTTCTTTATCTTGACTATCCTCAAGGAATTTTCATAATTACGCTTTAATTTAGGAGAATCGTGCTACCACAAGCTAGCTATGAGCCTGCACTAGAAGAAGTTTTATTGATATTATTCTTTTTCAGTAGAAACAGTTGCTGTACTTAAGGCGAAGTAATGGGTTGGTATGCATTTCTTTTTAATATTTTATTTTGGGAGATTCTTAGCTTCTACTAGAAGGTAACCAAAACTGCCTCGGAATGATAGACTGTTCACACAAAAAATTCTATTCATCAAGATGAAAGATACTTTTTAACTCATAAGTTGGATGGATTTTCGTTCTAAATGGTAAAGAATTCGAAACTGAGTGAGTGAGTGAATATTAACGTCGCACTGTTCAGCTTCAATGGGGCTTTTGGCGATGGACCACAATTCGAAACTGAACAGGAACGGTTAAATCTATAGTTTTTTTTCCTATACTTCTCGTTTATTGTTCCAAAAGGAATATTTTTCTAGTTCTTGAAACATTTTCTTTTGCATTAACTGTAAAGTTATTAAAAATAACACTTCGTTAAACTTGCAAGAAATATTATAGAATAGTTAGTAGAAAATAGAAGGGAAGTATTTTTAAAAGAAGCTTTTGATTGAAATTTGAAAATTTTTTTGTTGCTCCTTAAATCGGAGATTGACTTTTCATTCGATTGCCTCCATAGCCCATTTTATTAGCTTCACAAATTTCATAGCTTTCCTGGTTGTAAATATAAAAATATCTATTTACTATACATAAATAAACACGGAGACAAGCGTTCGTTCCTTATACCACACAAATATTTTATTGATTCCATCAAAATATTTCGGAGCGGGACTATTTATAATTTTGAGAAATCAAAAATTGGCACTATTTAATCATTTTATTAAAAATGCGTCGTGGCTGCGGAGGTCAAGTTAACGAACTCATAGCCGGTGTGTCATGAGTTCGAGCGTAGTACCGCTGAAGACCCGCCGTGTAGGGGTGCGATGCACGTGAGATCTGACGAGAGGTCAAGTGTCCTCCCCTGGTGTGGTGGTTGAAGAGGGGGTGCCAGATCAGGTATCATCCTTGCCAATTGACCATGGCTCAAAATTATGATGTCGTTCGCCAAAAGCCCTCGAGTAGCTGGAAAGTGCAACGTTAATATTGTCTCTCTCATTCATGAACTTAAAAATGAACAAAAATTGGTTATTTAGTATACCCGCAGATAACGAAGCTGCTAGTCTTCAAATAAAATGGATATCTCAAACAAAAAATAAGTAATATACAAACAATTAAGTCAATTCCTACTTAGGTCAAAAAAGAAGGAAAAAAAAAGATTTATTTACTCCTATTAAAAAATTACAATTAATATAAAAAATTCTGTACATATGTGACAGAATCACAATATTAAGGTGTGTTGGAAAGCTAAATTCTTATTTTTTTGAAAATTTAAGATTTTTACTTTTTTAAATTTATTACTTTTATAGATTTTAACCTCTCTAAAAATACCTTACTTAAACCTCTAGGGTAAATAGAAGCCTACAACCTATTTTTAAATAATCGTTGAAACTGGGTCATGCCCATTTGAATGGCGAAAATTGTAAACAAAGTACTTCGTTTTTGCTTAAAAGTTGAACGTCTGATATAAACCAAAACATCTATCTTTAAATGTAAATTGAGCCTTTTATTTTTTATTTCCTAGCCAATTAGAAGTCTCACTTTATACATTAAAATCGTTTTATCTCAAAATATAAATTTTAATGTTCGATTTACCTTTTCAGAGAAACTACTGTTAACAAGTGTATAAATTTGTATGACATATTTATAATGATGTCTATATATATATATATATATATATATATATATATATATAATATATATACTAAAACGAGCTTTTTGTAAAAAACTCAAAAATTTATTTTTTACAAATTTTTTGTGAAAAATGGCTTAAAATTCAATATGTGTTTGATAAAATATTTTATAAATTATGAAACAATTCAAAATTATCTAAAAGCTTCTTTCAATATAATGAGAAAAGTGTACTTAAATTGTCTAAAAAATTTCAAACAGGTTCATACAACAGATTTTGAGAAAAGGTACATCGAAAACAGCCAATTTAACATTGTAGGTATAGAGGTTTCCCTTTAAGTGGCAGAATAGAAAGAGATTTTCCCATTTCCTTTCTATACAGGGTGTTGGACTAGTATTTTTGTGTTTGTTACTATTTAATAATTAACTAAATTTAATTATTCCTTTGAAATAGCATAATCAAAATGAATCACATTCTCCGGATTTAGGCCATCCCAGGGGGGAATCGAACCCACGACCTTTGGATTAGAAGTTCAATGCGCTTTAAATTGTGCTACAGGGTCACAACAATTGATTTTCCTATTTATATATGGTTTTGGACTCTTTTTTTGGTTTGTTACTATTTTTCCTTAATTAATTAGGATTAATAATTTAATAATTGAAAAACTGTATTAACATCAAGTGTTATCCACTACAAGTTGAAAAAAAATGTATTTGAACTTGAAAAAATGAATAAAAACTATTTTATTTACCATTGAAAATTTGAACAATATATATATATATATATATATATATATATATATATATATATAAATATACATAGAGAGAGTGTGAACTAATAATAGGAACTGTGAAACAAAATCTGAACCCTGAGAAGTTTCGATTGAGAGCTGTACTGTAAAGCACACAAAAATCCCTTTAATCTTTATATAGAAACAATATAAAGAGAATTTTGGAAAATTCGCTTCAAGAACCACAATAACATTTCTCAATATTTCAGCACACCAAATTTCGTGTGTCTGAACCTTTCCATTTTTAGCTACTTTGCCACACACATACACAAAAACTATTCTTTCACTAGAATAACTGCCATAATAAAGTTACGATTTAAGCATCCAAAAATAGTTTTTGTGTTCCTTTTTGCTTTTACTACTTTCTCTATAAGGGTTTCAAACTTTTTACTCATATCTAATATAAAGTTCTCTCGCATATGACTCTGAAATAAAAAATGCTGAATTAACATTTTCACTTTTTTAGAAGCACTTTTTAATAATTTTAAAATACGTAGTCATCCATCCAGATTTACTCAATTATTCAACCAAATGGTTTTATATAGCATAAAATTAGAATTCTGTAGTAATTAAATTTATTTTAACGACTTTCTATAGGATGAATTTCATTTTCAGTTATCCAGCGCGCAAAATCCTTCACAACTGATATGAAGCACTTAAATATTTTTAACATTTTACGGGAAGTATTTTCTAAAACTGTTCTTTAAAGCTGTTCAAAAATATATTCACACTTATATTCAACTCTACCTAATTTATTTCATCCTTAAAATAATAATAATTATTTATTCTTTTTTCCCCTGCTGAAATAGTCTATCTGTTTGAAAGGACTATGATTGCTTTCTATCATGATATATATCTCTATATCACAAAAGTATTAATATAAGGATCAAAGAGGAAAATCCTAAACTGTTTTTACTCGATACATATTTTATTTCAAGAATAAAAAAACGCGATTTAAAATATTGATACTTTGGCATAATCACAAATTACTCGTCAGTCATTTTATCACATCCTATTAATATCGTTTTAAATCCTGTCAATATGACACTTGTCATTTACGTTGAAATATTATACAGGTTGAAGGAATATTCTGAAGTGAATATTAGTTATCAAAGAAATATAAATTATATAAAATAAATAAAAAATTGAACTTAAAAATGTAAGAGACTCGCGCCTCTCTCTCAGGCACCTAGATGTGTGGGGTGAAGGGAAGAAACACTCGACATGATCCTACTAATCAAGTGTTTCTAAAACTGTGGGGCGCGCCCCCTAGGGGGACGCGAGCTTATTGAAAATAAAAGATTTAAAAAAATAATTTTTTGGAATGAAGTAAAACAAAATGTTTTCTGTAACATAATAAAAAATACACATTTACACTGATATAATTTATTTGTATCATCTGGTGATCATCAAAAATAAAAGACTCCACTTCAAACGGTCATTAGCTATCTTTGATTTTATAACCAAATAAAAAAAATATTTTGTTTTCTTTGCTGTAATCCCACGATGAGAGATTTTTTTATTACGTTTCTTTTAATCTAAAATATTACTTAAGCTGACCTTCGAACTTACTGGTATGGTTATCTCCATTCCTGTTTTTAGGGAAGTTGTAAATATGTCAAATTTATTTCTGTTTCGACTTTTTTTCATGTGAAAGAGTTTTATGATATATGGCTAAGCATATTGAGCACTTTGAATAATTATTTGGCCAAGTTTTATTTTTATGAGTATTCTGAAACATATAATGCATAATGAAAAACGTTTAACACAATTCTTTTTTAGAAGTAATATCCATATTTTTATATTGAATACACTGAATTGAATGTTAGCGGAAAATGTCTGTGATTTGTTATCTTCACGCACATTTGAAGCAATTTAGTTAAGTTTTATTGGATTTCTTCTCAAATTACCAAATACAAATTGAAAAGTCCTTGAAATAGGTAAGTATATTTTCTCTTAGCTAAATTATTCACTGAAATTGTGATTTTTATTGTGTATAGTTAAAATAATTATAAAAAGAAAGGATTGGGGTGAGTCACTCCGCGGGAATCGAGTGCCCACTTGATCCCGGGCTAAAACTTTTCGATGTTTTCTCGCTTTAAATGTTAAAAATAACACAATTATTCTTTATTGGAATTTTACATTTTTTTTCTCGTTATTTAACAATTATTCTAAATGCTAATTCTCTGAGGCTAAAATTATAGTTCGTTCAAAACTATTTATATTATGAGCATTCATTTCAAAAAATCATTTTACATTTTTGTATGCATTGTCATGTACTTGGCTTTACTCTCCTTATAATTAAGCTATTATATCCAGAATAATGTATTATTTTTTAAGAAAAATAAACTCGTGTGAAGAGTGGGTACTTCAGCCGCTATAAGAACAAGTTTAATAATTATTAGTAACTTCCATGTCTTGCAAAGCAAAGTTTTCTCAAAGGAAGGCTTAATATTAGAAATTGACACTCTGAGTTTTTTTCTATATTTAGCTGAGATTATGTTGAAAATGGTAATAGTATAATGGTAATGGTAATACTACACACACACACACACACACACACACACACACACACACACACACACACACACACACACACACACACACACACACACACACACACACACACACACACACACACACACACACACACACACACACACACACACACACACACACACACACACACACACACACACACACACACACACACACACACACACACACACACACACACACACACACACACACACACACACACACACACACACACACACACACACACACACACACACACACACACACACACACACACACACACACACATTTGTTTTCAGTGCAGAAAATTCATCTCATCCACCTCTGCCCAAAATTCAAAGAGCTATTTATTTCAAAATTGCTTTTTAACTATGCCACTGGATGTGAAATCTATGAAAATTTCTTCTTCGGCAGTTGAGAGCCCTTCTGAAGTATTGTGAAATGAATCCCTAACCCACTCGTAACGTGCTATCAAGTTGTCCTTAGCAAGAAAATACTTTTTTAAAATTCCGTACCAACATGGCTAAATGATTTTCTATGGTTTTAAAAACAACTTCCACATGTTGTTCTTCAGATTTGTAAGTTTTAACACATAGTTAGTACACATGTAAGTTTTATACAGGGTTTTTCAGTAATAGTAATAGTAAATACAAAATTTAAGTATTCTGTAAAATATTTCCTTGATTTAATTTTCGGAACCATGCTGTTCGGTGTACTTGTTGATACTTTATTATCATCGAATGTTCTCTACGACTTAAAACTATATCTATAATTTAATTTTATCTACTGCCGTAAATACTTAATATCGTGATTTACAACTAACGCGCAAATTATAAAATGTACATTCAAGACAGATTAGGTAGCTATAGAAGTATCGACTGGACCAAAACTGAATGGAATTGTACCATGTACAGCTTTTTTACATATTTTTCGCAGACGTCCGATAGGTTGCCCAGACTCACGCAAACGTTCGCCAGAATTTTTGCCAGATGTGATGAATGTGATAGATAGCAACATAGACTAGACTATATTTCTAATGATATTTGTACCTTTAGAAATGGATGATGGAGGGAATAAATCTTTAATTTAAAATCGTTTTGCAATCTATTCTATTTTAAAAATTAGAGAAAGAAAAATAGCATAATAACTTTCCTATTGCTTAAAAATAATTTACTTAAAATATATATTACTTAAAAGTAACATATGCAAAATTTAACACTTATCTTATGAAGATGTAGGGTTTATAATTATGATCATAGTGTAGTTTTAGAGTCAAAGTGCATTAGTATTGCATTCAATACATTATTATTGTATAAGGGGGGTGCGATAAAAATTATGATTGAAAATTTGGGTCACCAGTACTGAAAGTTTGAGAAGTACTGAACTAATCTATTTATTTCCACACAAAGAACAGACACGATTTAAACTAATAATAATAAGAGAATGCTTCAATGTTAACCGTGAAAGTGAAACAACGACAGTGATTAGGAGACTAACTAACTTGATCATTTTCTTAATTAAGGATCTAACCTATCACCCAATTTAATCTAGCCTTAATTCAGTCTTAGTGAACAATCTCATCTCTCTTTAAAGTTTCCTCCTACTAAGAATCAAATCACTATAATTCTAATAATATACCTTCAGTAGCAATATCACCTATCTCGAGTATATCCTCGTCCCTTCTCTCTCTCAAGCTAGAAAACCTCGCCTATTTATAATAGTAATTTAGTTTACATATCACGATTCTCTTTATCAGAAGGGTTGGTTATGAATAGCGGGAATTGATAGCCCAAAGATTTCCCAAGAATATTAGTTAGAAAAACGCGCATAGATCCGTCACAATAATAGTAATAATAATAAAACATTCAATGAAATATTTTAAAGCTTTATATTAATTGATAATTTTTACACACAAATACAACAGCGAGATAGAGATTATTAACCTCTCATTCTAAAGGAACACGAGGCTATTTGTGAGGGACCTTGTAATTTTGAACCCCGATCAAGTGACATTGATGACACCTAAGCTGGCACTCCCCCCTCCCTCTTCTAGCTTCCACACCATGCCAATGGGAAACCTTTGCGCCTCGTCAGATTTAACCCCTAACTGGAACATCCGTCTCTCAGACGGGGATGATTTACTTTGATGCCTGTAGATAACACTGTGGTGTGATTTTTGGGGTGGACTGCCTTGAAATCTTCTGTTCGACTCTTTCCAGTGAGAGGATTACGTG